GTAAAAAAACCCCCCGGGGGAAAAGCATTCCCCGTCAGTGGTGGCGAGCTCAGAGCAAAGGGTGGCCAATTACCTCTTTCCCCCAACCCCGGTTGTGCTGTGGACTCCTCACCTCGTTCTGTTGGGATCTTAAATGTGGTAAAAACAGCCTTGTGGGCAGCGATCCAAGTACCGAGGGGTTTTACAAGTGACTTGCCTTTGCCCGTCACTCATACTGGGTCAAAGGGGGGGCCAGAGTATGGTGGGAAATCAACAAGTTTTTAAGTCAAAAAACTGCAAAAGGTCATCAAAGTCCCCCTGTATAAGGTGCTGGTTGAGGTCACCAACAATTATAATATGTTGCAGTTGTGTTGTACAGAAGGGAGTCAAAATTTTCCATTTGGAAGTTGATAGGGTCTGCTGTTTTACTGAGGTCTGTACATTGCAATGCTAGTACAGAGGTACTAGTTTATAAAGAGCTTGAAGAACATATTTAAAATGTGTAGGGGTGGCAAATCTATGGCTGGGCATGAACACTTTTTGAAAGCACACAGCAAAACCACCTCCTTGCCCTTGCCTGTCTTTCTATCCATGAGGTGTAGCCACATTCTTGCAAAATTTTTGGAGTCCCCGTATCCAAAAAAATGTTTCAACAAAGCTATATGTCGGGACGTCGGTGTTCACAAAGCTATGTGTGAGCTCTCCAACTTAGTAAAGAAACCCCAATGTTGGCCCAAGGATCTGATAGACTGGCTCCTCTCTCTCTCTCTCTCTCTCCTCTCTCTCTCCTCTCTCTCTCTCTCTCTCTCTCCTCTCTCTCTCTCTTCTCTCTTCTCTCTCTTCTCCTTCACTCTCTCTTCTCCTCACTCTTTCTCTCTCTTTTTTTCTCTCTCTCACCTCTCTCCTCTCTCTCTCCCCCCTCCTCTCTCTCTCTTCTCTCTCTCTCTCTCTCTCTCTCCTCTCTCTCTCTCTCTTCACTCTCACTCTCTCTCTCTTCACTCTCTCTCTCTCTCCTCTCTCACCTCCTCTCTCTCTCTCTCTCTTCTTTTCTCTCTCTCTCCTCTCCTCCTCTCTTTTCTTCCTCCTTCTCTCTCCTCTCTCTCCTTCTCTTTCCCCCTCTCTTCTCCCTTCCCTCCCCTCCCCCCCTTCCCCTCCCCCCCCTCCCCTCCCTCCCTCCCTCCCTCCTCCCCCTCTCTCACTCTTTTCTCTTTTCTCTCTCTCTCTCTCTCCCCTCTCTTTTTTCTCTCTCTCTCTCTCTTCCCCTCTCACTCTCTCTCTCCTTCTCTCTTCTTCTCTCTCCTCTCTCTCTCTCTCTCCCCTCTCTCTTCTCTCTCTTCCTCTCTCTCTCATCAATAAGAACATAAGAATGGAGGGGGGCATTGATAAGGCCCTGACCCGTGCTAGGTTGTTAAACTTAAGTCAATAACCAGTGGAAATAAGTCTGAACAACCCCCGTGTATTACTTTTAATTAAAACTGTATATATACTCGTGTACTTATACTCATGACTTTATATCAGTGATTTACTTAGTTATTCATCTCAGTGCCTTTTTACTCGTGTACTCAATTGTGGGGAGGGGAGGGTAGAGTCTCGAAAGGGCTGAGAAGTGGGAAAGGGGGGGGGAATGGTGGAACGGGAGTAGGTTAAAGTAGTAGTAGAAAACGTGTTTGTAGTGGTTTTAAAGTGAGTAGTAGTAGCAGTATAGTTGTAGGCAGTGTTATAGTAGTAGTAGCAGTGTTATAGTAGTGTTAGTATAGTAGTAGTAGTAGTAGTAGTAGTAGTAGTAGTAATAATAGTAGTAGTAGTAGCAGCAGTTGTAGCAGTAGTAGTAGTAGTAGTAGTAGCAGTTGTAGCAATAGTAAGAGAGGTGAAAATAAGAAGACAATAGTAGCAGTGGAAAAGAGGTCAGAGAGTGGAGTGTTAGCGTAGTAGTAGTAGTAGTAGAAGTAGCAATGGAGGTAGTCTACAAGAACAGAGAAGCACTGTTCCTGCATTGCACTGCTACTCTGGTCACTGTTCCTGCATTGCACTGCTACTCTGTTCACTCTGACTGTCACTATAGTATCCTCTAAAGTATGATCTGAGTTATCCATTTTTAATTCACTTATTCATAGTTTGGCCAAATGCTGTTATTGCATTCTATTTCACATCTTGTACATTTATTTATCTTTTCCTAACATAAATATTGCCTACAACCAATTATTTTTTCTACGTAAAATTCAATTAGAGGGAAGGGGGATCCATTAATATTTACAACTGACACTACAAACTTACCTGCTAAGTTTTCTTCAACATTCTCTCTGACTTTAGCAACAATTATTCTCTTGTCAGAACTCCCTAAACATTCGTTTAACATCTCCCAAAACCTCTCTCTCTCTCTCTTCTCTCTCTCTCTCTCTCTCTCTCCTCCCTCTCTCTCTCTCTCTCTCTTTCTCTCCTCTACACTCCAAAAATATATTTTTTTAATATCAAAGTTACCAAAGAATTACTTACGGTAGCTGCTGAATCCATTCAGAATTGTCTGATATGGCTTCGGCATCAAGGCCTGGGATCAATTTTATCTGGGTGGAGACAATTCAGAAAGTCTCCTAACACCAACTGTCCCTGTGTACCAAGCAGTAAATAGGTTCCTGGGTGTTAGCTTACTATTGTGACTAGCATCACTATGTACTAAGCATTAGATACGTACCTCAGTCTTAACTGACTTTTATGTCAGGTATCCTGGAAGTAGATAGTACCCAGGTTTTTATTTAGATAATCAGTAAGATAAGATAAGATTTCGTTCGGATTTTTAACCCCGGAGGGTTAGCCACCCAGGATAACCCAAGAAAGTCAGTGCGTCATCGAGGACTGTCTAACTTATTTCCATTGGGGTCCTTAATCTTGTCCCCCAGGATGCGACCCACACCAGTCGACTAACACCCAGGTACCTATTTGCTGCTAGGTGAACAGGACAACAGGTGTAAGGAAACGTGTCGAAATGTTTCCACCCGCCGGGAATCGAACCCGGGCCCTCCGTGTGTGAAGCGGGAGCTTTAGCCACCAGGCCACCGGGCCACATATAATTGATAAAATTATTTGTTTTGTAATGGTAACGAGAGCTAGTTCTGTCATGCCTTTCATTACGTAGATTTATTCTAGGATGCCCCAGTAAAGTTAAGATACATGACTTATTTCCACTGGGGTACCTAAGATACGATTGGCCTTTGAATTGAGCTGGGACAAGATACCACCTCTTAACCTGTAAACTCAAAGGCTTAAAAAAGGTATTAGCTAAGATTCTATCCTCAAAAGTAATCACTACTTACGAGTGTGCCCGAAAGGTTGTCTCTCCGAGCAGGTATATTCTAGGGTCCCAGTTGTCGTAATCAGTGGCAAGTACTTCGTAATTATCTTCGAAGCCTGGCACACCGGGAGAGTGTATGTGAGGTGTTGGGCGCTCTGTATGGTCTCTTCTGAATCACCCCGACACTTATCATGTTAGGACGGCTGAACCTGGTGCAGAGAACCTTGTTAGAGAACCGTATTGAGCGAAACGGACGTATAACGAAACACAATTTTTAACCGTTAAGGCCAATTAACAAACAACAAGAGTTAAGTTGCTGGGTCAAGGGAGAGCTGAGACGAAGAGCAGGTTGTGCTGCAGACACTCTAGGGCCTATATTGACATTTTTATATTTTAGGCATCACATATTTTCAAATTATATAAGAAAACCCGCCTACATATCATTAGATAAAACCAAATATCACAACCATAAAGGAAGGCAATTGACATTAGCGAACATGACGGTTTACGCTGATGCCTGTCCTCCATCCAGATTATTAACTTTCCACATTTTTATATTCCCCACCTGCAATTAATTTCTTTTTCTTGTCAACTTTATCTACAAGAAACGACGTTGAACAAAGAGACTTTAATTGAGGACTTCCAGTACATATTTCAGACATATTAAATATAAGAGATGAGAGGTAGTGTGTACATTAGGCAGAAGCCAGTGCACCGACCCCAGTGATGTTTTCTGTCACAGAATTCAAGTGAGAAAGAAATACATAGGATACTTAAAATCATAGGATCAAATCTTAGCTTAGTTGATATTACAATCATGGGGGTGAGGGGAAGGTCCTAAACTCGCACCTAGAGGTAGGAGGATGCAATATAACCACGAACGAGTGGTGTTGATCAATAACAACACTGCCAACTAGCCAAGAGCTGCGAACCCCATGCTGCTTTGGCCCGCCTCATGGTGACGAGAGACAGATGACGCTCTAGTCCACAGGAAGTAGGATGAAATTAGTTCAGAAGCATCCACACCATCGTATGTTCTTGGATGATGGGTGCAACATCCAGCTTGGCTGGGTGCGTCATTCTTGAGAATTGTGTAGCCCGTGGATTAGAGCGTCATCTGTCTTTCACTCGCCTTGAAGCGGGCCAAAGCAGCATGGGTTCGACTCCTTGGCTAGTCACAGTGTTGTTATCTTAATGTTGTTATCTTATCTTAATACCACTCGTTCGTGGTTACAATAAGTATATAAAAAAAAAAAGGTCTGTCAATTTTATATTATGGATATTTTATCCGTTAATGTTATTATTGTCAGTCATGAATGGCACTGGTGTTAATTGTTATGAGTCTTCTTAATTGTATGACGTTAGTTTTAGTAGACTGTTGGTGTTTTATTCGTCACGAAACAGAATAATTATCCTTAACATGAATACTTTTGAGATGATAACCCGGAGGTCTTTCCATCTCAATGACCCGTTACTTTGTCAGACTTTTTTTTCGGGGGGGGGGGGTATTCTGGAGAATAATTTACACATATTCTACTATGTATGGTAATTTATTATTTGTTTTTAGTGTCTGTACTAAACACCTGACCCTCGGAAATGACGGTGCACTCTGCTTCCTTGGATCAGATCTGATTACCTCTCATTCCCCAAGAGCTGTACGACCCCCTGGGAGTTCGAGAGTTTTCTGGTGAATTTAACAGTAATGCAAATGTTCAACTAACTTTAACATACTTACACAACGTCCCAAAAGTGCAGTTTGACTGAGATCTTTCCCGAGTGTCTGTCTTGGAGGTAGGTACCTCTCCAGCACCTACCCACAGTCTGGTAACCCACGAAGTACCGTTCTTGCTCGTACCAGCTACCCAGGTACTGTCAGGGATACACCATAATGTCAGTATGTTCTCTCCTGTGTGTGGTTGTAGGGGTCGATTCACAGCTCCAACTTTATTTTTTTTCTGCAGTATATAAAATATGGTTAGGTAAGGTTGGTCAGGAAACAGGACAAGTGTTTCCTGTCGCGGGTCTTAGTTATATGATGACCCACAGCTGGAACTTTTGGTCATCTGACCGAGGTCTTCCACTGGCTTACCCCTCCAACCTGTCTTGGGAGTGTCTCGAGAACTATGTCTGCCATGGAAGGAGGTACAAGTACCTCCTCATCTTCCGGGACCAACTGTCCCCAGGCCTACCCCAATTCCCCCCCTCAGGGGGCCTCGTAGGGAAAGCTAGGCCTCTGGTCTGCCATCCCCCCCCCCCAAAGGGAAGCAAGGGGGAATAACAGTCTTGTGAGCTGCAAGCCCCGGGCTCAGGCACCTACCCTACCCTAGAAGGGCTGGGCATGGTGTCGATGATGACCCACCTTTGAAGCTTTAGTCATCTGACCGAGGCCTTCCGCTGGCTTACCGGTCCACCCCTTAAAAAATAATGGTTATTTTTAACCAATTGATACATGAGCTGCAGATGGTAGCAAGATCGGCATAGTGTTATTATTATTACTATTAATTATTATTATTATTATTATTATTATCATAATGAGGTATTATTAACCATTATTATAAATTACAAATATAATTTAGCATTATATTTAATATATTTGATGTGCAAATACATCAGAACATTTAATTAATAAAACTTACCCTATTCCAGTCAAAATTTATAATTATTGGTGTTTTGGGACAGTTTCCCCTGAAGAAAACTTGAGCATGGGACAAGAGGCAGACAAGGGAGACTATCATCAACCTCAAACACCCCATTATTACGGTTATTTTTACCTGTAAACAAAAAATGTGCATTTAGTTTAGCATGGTGGTATGTCTCCATGCTGAGACAACATTATTGGCCGTCTTTACTTTGTCAGTAAGTGAGAGAATGTCCCTAGAAAGTCACTTTCACTTTTTTTTTGAGTTACCCTAAAATAAACAAAACTGATAATAAACCAAGGATCCCCCTGATAATTCACTTCAATTCAATTCAAGTTTATTCTCTATAAAGGTTACAATGTGGGGTTTACAGGTTTTGGTATTGTGTGGTTTACATGTTATAAAATACTAATTACAGAGGGGGCCCCCCCTGATAATAAACCAAGGACCCCCTGATAATAAACCAAGGACCCCCTGATAATAAACCAAGAACCCCCTGATAATAAACCAAGAACCCCCTGGTAATAAACCAAGAACCCCCTGGTAATAAACCAAGGATTCCCCTGATAATAAACCAAGGACCCCCCTGATAATAAACCAAGGACCCCCTGATAATAAACCAAGAACCCCCTGGTAATAAACCAAGGACCCCCCTGATAATAAACCAAGGACCCCCCCGGTAATAAACCAAGGACCCCCTGGTAATAAACCCAAAGGACCCCCCTCCTGGTAATAAACCAAGGGCCCACCTGGTAATAAACCAAGGACCCACTGATAATAAACCAAGGACCCCCTGGTAATAAACCAAGGATCCCAATGATAATAAACCAATGATCCCCTGATAATAAACCAAGGACCCCCCTTTGGAATAAGCCAAGGACCCCATCCTGGTAATAAACCAAGGACCCCATCCTGGTAATAAACCAAGGACCCTCTGGTAATAAACCAAGGAGCCCCTCCTGGTAATAAACCAAGGACCCCCTGGTAATAAACCAAGGGCCCCCTGATAATAAACCAAGGACCCCCTGATAATAAAAAAGGGCCCCCTGATAATAAACCAAGGACCCCCTGATGATAAACCAAGGACCCCCTGATAATAAACAAAGGACCCCCCTGATAATAAACCAAGGGTCCCTGTGATAATAAACCAAAGACCCCCTGATAATAAGCCAAGGACCCCTGGTAATAAAATAAGGGCCCCCCTGGTAATGAACCAAGGACTCCCTCCTGGTAATAAACCAAGGACCCCCCTGATAATAAACCAAGGACCCTCTGATAATAAACCAAGGACCCCCCTGGTAATAAACCAAGGACCCCTGGTAATAAACCAAGGACTCCCTCCTGGTAATAAACCAAAGACCCCCTGATAATAAACCAAAGACCCCCTGATAATAAACCAAGGACCCCCCCGATAATAACCAAGGACCCCTCCTGGTAATAAACCAAGGACCCCTCCTGGAACAAACCAAGGACCCCCTCTGGTAATAAACCAAGGACCCCTGGTAATAATCCAAGGACCCCCTCCTGGTAATAAACCAAGAACCCACCTGTAATAAACAAAGGACCCCCTGATAATAAACCAAGGACCCCCTGATAATAAACCAAGGGCCCCATGATAATAAACCAAGAATCCCCCTGGTAATAAACCAAGGACCCCCTGATAATAAACCAAGGAAGCCTGATAATAAACCAAGACCCCCGATAATAAACCAAGGACCCTCTGATAATAAACCAAGGACCCCCTGTTAATAAACCAAGGTCCCACTGATAATAAACCAAGGACCCCCTGATAATAAACCAAGGACCCCCTCCTGGTAATAAACCAAGGACCCCCTCCTGGTAATAAACCAAGGACCCCTCTGATAATAAACCAAGGACCCCCCTGGTAATAAACCAAGGACCCCCTGGTAATAAACCAAGGACTCCCTCCTGGTAATAAACCAAAGACCCCCCTGATAATAAACCAAGGACACCCTGATAATAAACCAAGGACCCCCTGATAATAAACCAAGGACCCCCTGATAATAAACCAAGGACCCCTTGATAATAACCAAGGACCCACCTGGAAATAAACCAAGGACCCACCTGGAAATAAACCAAGGACCCCCTCCGGGTAATAAACCAAGGACCCCCTGATAATAAACCAAGGACCCCCCTGGTAATAAACTAAGGACTCCCTCCTGGTAATAAACCAAGGGCCCGCCTGGAAATAAACCAAGGACCCCCTCCAGGTAATAAACCAAAGACCCCATTCTGGAAATAAACCAAGGACCCCCCTGATAATAAACCAAGGACCCCCCCGATAATAAACCAAGGAACCCCCCTGATAAAAAACCAAGGACCCCCCGATAATAAACCAAGGACCCCCTGATAATAAAACCAAGCACCCCCCTGATAATAAACCAAGGAGCCCCCCTGATAAAAAAACCAAGGAGCCCCCTGATAATAACCAAGGACCCCCCCTGGTAATAAACCAAGGACCCCCTGATAATAAATCAAAGGACCCCCCTGATAATAAACCAAGACTCCCCTGTAATAAACCAAGGACTCCCCTGATAATAAACCAAGGACCCCCCTGATAATAAACCAAGGAGCCCCCCTGATAATAAACCAAGGAGCCTCCCTGATAATAAACCAAGGAGCCCCCTGATAATAAACCAAGGACTTCCCCTGATAATAAACCAAGGACCCCCCTGATAATAAACCAAGGGGCCCCCCTGATAATAAACCAAGGACCCCCTGATAATAACCAAGGACCCCCTGAATAATAAACCAAGGACTCCCCTGATAATAAACCAAGGACCCCCCCCGATAATAAACCAAGGACCCCCCTGAATAATAAACCAAGGACCCCCCCGATAATAAACCAAGGACTCCCCTGATAATAAAAAAAAGGGCCCCCCTGATAATAAACCAAGAACCCACCTGTAATAAACCAAGGACCCCCCTGATAATAAACCAAGGACACCAGTGAGTTCTTTGTGCCATCGTAGGTAAGTTCAACATATATTACCAGGTATAATAACTGTACTAATATATACCTGTATCTAAATAAAAACAAATAAAAAAACCAAGGTTTAATTTCTTTGCAATATTCACAATGTGTTATAACAATATTGTTTGTTAAGTATAAATAAAGTCACTATCACGTCGGATCATTGTGGACACACTTAACTTAACACTTATAAACTACTTAATAACAGAGATATAGACAGTAGGTAATATTTATTATACTTTGTTAATATTATTATCAGAGAGATAGTTAGTGGTTTACACTAAGTGAATTATAGTTGTCAGCAAGTATGTCTAAATTATAGTATTAAACTTCACCACAAATTATAATAATGATTTAAAAATAATAATAATAATAATAATAATATTAATAATAATAAAACAATAAAATAATAATAATAAATAAAAATAATAATAAAAATAATAATAATAATAAAATAATAATAATAATAAAATAATAATAATAATAATAATAATAATAATAATAATAATAATAATAATAATAATAATAATAATAATAATAATAATAATAATAAAAATAATAATAACAATAATAATAATAACAATATTTAAAAACAATAAATAATAAAAATAATAATAATAATAATAAAAATAATAATAATAATAAAATAAAAATATACAATAATAATAATAAACAATAATAATAACAATAATAATAATAAAATAATAATAAAATAATAATAATAATAATAATAATAATAATAATAATAATAAGATAAGATAAGATTTCGTTCGGATTTTTAACCCCGGAGGGTTAGCCACCCAGGATAACCCAAAAAAGTCAGTGCGTCATCGAGGACTGTCTAACTTATTTCCATTGTGGCCTTAATCTTGTCCCCCAGGATGCGACCCACACCAGTCGACTAACACCCAGGTACCTATTTGCTGCTAGGTGAACAGGACAACAGGTGTAAGGAAACGTGTTCGAATGTTTCCACCCGCCGGAATCGAACCCGGGCCCTCCGTGTGTGAACGGGAGCTTTAGCCACCGGGCCCCACCGGGCCACAATAATAATAATAACAATAATAATAACAACAACAATAATAATAATAATAATAATAATAATAATAATAATAATAATAATAATAATAATCTTTATTTACTACCAGTACATGTACAAGGTATACAGATCATAGTTGACATCAGTGACATACTGCTATATAGAAAGCCGCTTGTTATGCTGAGCATTTCCCGCAAATTATGTCAGTTTTGTCCCAGGATGTGACCCACACCAGTCCACTAACACCCAGGATGTAACCCGCACCAGTCCACTAACACCCAGGATGTAACCCACACCAGTCCACTAACACCAGGATGTGACCCACACCAGTCCACTAACACCCAGGATGTGACCCACACCAGTCCACTAACACCCAGGATGTGACCCACACCAGTCCACAAACACCCAGGATGTGACCCACACCAGTCCACTAACACCCAGGATGTGACCCACACCAGTCCACTAACACCCAGGATGTGACCCACACCAGTCCACTAACACCCAGGATGTGACCCACACCAGTCCACTAACACCCAGGATGTGACCCACACCAGTCCACAAACACCCAGGATGTGACCCACACCAGTCCACTAACACCCAGGATGTGACCCACACCAGTCCACTAACACCCGGGATGTGACCCACACCAGTCCACTAACACCCGGGATGTGACCCACACCAGTCCACTAACACCCAGGATGTGACCCACACCATCCACTAACACCCAGGATGTGACCCAACACCAGTCCACTAACACCCAGGATGTGACCCACACCAGTCCACTAACACCCAGGATGCGACCCACACCATCCACTAACACCCAGATGTGACCCACACCAGTCCACTAACACCCCAGGATGCTACCCACACCAGTCCACTAACACCCAGGATGCGACCCAAACCATCCACTAACACCCAGGATGTGACCCACACCAGTCCACTAACACCCAGGATGTGACCCACACCAGTCCACTAACACCCATGATGCGACCCACACCAGTCCACTAACACCCAGGATGTGACCCACACCAGTCCACTAACACCCAGGATGCTACCCACACCAGTCCACTAACACCCAGGATGTGACCCAAACCAGTC